TCCTCCGTCACTGAAGCAAGCAAGCCTCATGTTCGCTTCAAGCTGCCTGGCTGCCGGTCGCCATCTTGGCTGGCAGTTAATTTGCATATCGCCCTGATTAGCCAATGGGAAGGGTAGCGGATGTACGGCTAATTACCATGTTTCTCTTTTATTAGATAGGATTTAGGACAGTGAAAATTAGACACTTTTTATAGTCAGTTAAATACCCTGAATGGGGAATCAGATAAAATTTTGGCATGTTCACTGTACATTCTTCCTTAGGCTCCTCTGGGATCACGTTAGTACTCTGTGAATATCTGGCACAGGAAATGTTGTCATTTAGTGTGGGATTGTTCAAGGAAAATGATGCTATACTTAACTCCTGTTTAGATGTGATTAAAACATATTTATAGTTGTGTGATGTCATGTTGAACAAATATCTGTGTGATGAGATTAAAGTCTATTGGTGAAATAAAGAATTAAGGAAAGTAGCAGTCTAATCATCTCCTTTCTTGGTGTAACTGCCTGAGAAGCTGTGATAGTGCAATGATATATTATCTCAGCAGGTAAATTTCTGGAGAGAAAGGGCTATCTTTTGGGGGGTGTGTGTAAATTATAAGAGTAATGCTCATTGTAGAAAACTTGTAAAATAGGAAAACAGAAAGATCACACATAATCCCACCACTCGGGTAACTATATTAATGTCTTATTAAATTTCCTATTTTATAAACATTTATATTTTGTTGTCTTTTTATATTACATCACAAAATTATAGCCCAAGTCTTTTCTAATGGATCTAAAAACTTCCTCAGCGTATATATTTGAGGCTACAATATGTGGTTATACCATAATTTACTTAACAGTTTCCTTATTATTGAACATGTATATTGTTTACTGTTTTTGTTTTTTCAGTAAATAGTGGTAAAGGAATTTACTTTTTAATTTTTTTGTTTTAGTAAATAGGGGTAAGGACTCTAATTTTGTGTGGAAGTTGTTTAGGGCCTAACATTTTATGAGTACACCAGCCTTGAAAGTAACCAGTGATTGGATTAATATCCACTTTAGTTCCTCAGGTGTGTTCCTCTTGGTCCCCTCTTCCTGTATATAATTTTCTTTAGGATTTTGTAGCATTTATTGGATTCACAGCCCTTTCAGGAAATGCCCTGATAGTACCCAGGTTTCAGTTTCTACACCAGGTTAAATATCTCACCCTGAGCTAGTTAGAGCTATGTTTCTGCTCTTTACTTCACACCATCAAATTTATGAGAGACAGTAGAACAGTGGTTACCAGGGGCTGGGAAAAGGGAGATGTTTAAGGTACAAAGTTTCAGTTTGAGATAATGAAAAAATTTTGGAGAAAGAATAGAAAGGCTAGTGATGGTTGCACGAAGTGTCAATGTACTTAAATGCTACTGAAGCATATACTCAAAAATGGTTAAAATGGTAAATTTTATGTTACGTATATTTTACCACAATAAAAAAAAAGGTGACCTAGAAATACCATGCAGCTGGAATAACTAGAAAGATTTCTAGTACTAATATTTTACTGATATTGAGAGATTTCCAAGATTAAGTAAAAAAGGTAAAATGCTATCTTTTGTGTAAATAAGGCAGGCAAAAAAATATATTTATATATTGTTTGGATAAAGAAACACAGGAAGGATTAGCAAACAATTAATAAAAATTGTTATCTAGGACAGCGATTTTCCACCGGTGTGCTGCAGAAATTTTTAAAACATGCATTACCTGACTATTTAGTTAGGGGCACTGACTCTTTTCCCTTAGATTGTCAAATAAAAGAAAATGACAACAGCCAACACAACAGTAGGCATCTGGTGTGAATGAATCAAAATTATACCTATTTTTTTATCAGATCAACAAAAAATATACACCTTTTGGTGTGCCACAGATTTTTATCAGTGTATGTGTATCATGAGATGAAAAAGGTTGAAAATTGCTGATCTGGGAGGCAGGAGGGACTGAGGTCACTGGGAGCAGAAGTGGTAATGAGACATCTCAATCTGTCCTTTTATATAATTTTGAGTTTTGAACCATGTAAATGTATTACCTATTCACAATAATGTCTACACATGGGGCTTAAGGTAGACTCACTGTAAAGGTATCAACAAATTATAATTATAGAAAACATAATTTTCTAGAGGTATTGATTACATGTTGCTCCACGTGATAGCCTCTCTCCCAGACATGTGGGGTTTAGGCTCTATGCTAACATTTGGTGTTTTAATAGCCTGGTTTAGATGCAGAAGTGAGTTTCAACTTCCCTTCCATTGCAGGCAGCAGAGAGAACATATTTTGGGTAGAGACTTAATAAAGTCAAACTGTCTAAGTTGACCAATGCCAAGGAGTCAGAAAGAAAGGGAGACTAGTCGTGCCCAGAGCAAGGCCTCTTACCAGGATCCAGGTACTGCAGGTGGGGTCATTAAACATGCATAGTACTCTACCGAGTCTGGGAGCCAAAAATATTCAAAAGCAGAAAACTGAGTAAACTCTGCATCCCTCCAAAATGTCACTGTCTTTGATTCAATCATCAGTTAGGAGCATTTTATGTTTAACATCTGCATCTGAAGCAAGAAGTAGGGTTGCTTAACATTTCTTAGGCAGTGGAAACAGAAATAGAAGCTGATAGCTGAACCAACATCCATCTAATCACCCCTGTCTCCCTCCCCACCAAGGGAGGACTATTAGGTCTTCCTTGGTCATTTCTCTTCCAGTTCCTTTCCCCACTTAGATCCACAGGAAATACAGAGACTAGCTGTAAAAAGTGGATGGCTGGCTAGGTGCAGCCCAGCCTATCCCAGCTATTACCTCTTAGCTGTGTTCCAGGGCACGTGTGTTGGAGGGAGAACCCAGGGAGTCATGTTCGGGAATCCTGTTCAGATCATAGATGATAGGACACTTTCCAGCAAGGTTGTCAAGGTGTAGGTGAAGAGAAAGAGCTGAGGTGCAGAGCCAAAATGAGAGAATTGAGGAGCTAGGAAATCTATCATTGAAAGTAGTAAAGAATTGGGCAACTGGGAAATAGTCTATAAAAGTTCCCTAGGATGGAGTTTAGAAGATTTTTGTTTTACATGTTTCCAGCACAGGCACTTAAGGTATGCTTTACTCATTTAAAGTTACTAGAATGGATAAGCAGTTTATTTTTTTCTGCCTCGTTGATCTGTCTGTATGTTTTCCTCACTACGTTCTGGGCTTTGAAGACACAAACTTCAGCCATAGTGGAAAAAGCATGGACTTAGGAACCAGGCATATCTGTTTAAAAGCAAATCTCTTCTCTTTCTAGGTGTTTGGTTTTGGTCAAGGTATTTTTATTACACTGAACATCAGGTTTTCTGTGCATCATAGGGTTGTTATAAAAGATTAAATGAGAGAAAACATTTATGTATAGTCATCTTGCACATAGAAAGTATTCAATAGAAGTTTTGTTCTCCCTTTTTTGTATCTTCCATAGAGTTTTAGATTTAAAAGGCATTCAATATATTATTCAAATTGAGTATGTTTCTCTGTACCTGTTAAATCTGAACCCTAGTTAAGGATAGTCTGAGACAGGCATATTTATCGGTCTCTTACTTTGAGCAGCTAATGTTGTTGTTGTTAAATATTTAATGAAGCATCTGCCTCTTATATATGTGCCAATGCTAACTTTTCACTTGCTGGTTTGGTCTGTCTTTCCTTGTCATTATCGGAGTCCATCTTGAAGCTTCTATTTTGTGAAGTCCTATTCCTTTGCTCTATTTATAGGACCATTTCACACCAATTTTTATCAGTGGGTATGAGAGTGATTCCCTTATACTCACTACTTTTCTAAAAACTGAAGGACTACACGCTCTACACATGGATGAGTGAAGGACTTGTTAAATTATCTTTCCTTCTTTTGTCAAATATTTATTGAGTATATTCTGTCTAGGGTGGATATAAACAATGTTAATACACAATTCCTGCCTCTCAAAAGCTTTTCTTATAGTAAAAAAAATGCACATATCAAAATATATTTAATTATTTCGTGATATGATAATACTTTTGTTTACTATTTCACATTTTACCATTTTAAAATGGCCTCATTTAAAACACACACACACACACACACACACACACACACACACACACACACACACACACACACACACACACACACACACACACACACACACACACACACACACACACACACACACACACACACACACACACACACACACACACACACACACACACACACACACACACACACACACACAATGGATTGGAAAGTTATGCACCAAGATGTTGACAGAGCTTATCTCTGAGTAATGGTATTTTTGAGTGGTATTTTTTCTTTTATTTTGCTTATCTGGATTGTCTAAACTTGCAAAAATTGCATTTTGAAGTTATAAATTCATCATTCTCCCCTCCTTGTTAACAGAATAGTGACTCATCTCTTCCTCTTGCCTGCAGCTTTTGCGAGAATTGAAGCACCCCAATGTGATCGCATTGCAGAAGGTGTTCCTTTCTCACAGTGACAGGAAGGTGTGGCTGCTGTTTGACTATGCAGAACATGATTTGTGGGTAAGTCTAGAATCACTTTCTTTTTAGAACTTTTATATAGGAACAGAGAAATAAATGGATGCACTACCTATTGCTAATTCACACAAAGGACAACTTGCTTTGTTGATCGTAGTTCAAAACAAACATAATAAATATAAACGAAGATTTAAAAGAATTTGAGCAATACACATGATCATATTTTACTGAGAAGATAGTATTTGTAATAACCAGAAATTTCACTTCCCACAATGCTAATGAGTGGGAGATTGTACTTTTATGCAAGTAATTAATGGTAGTTTACTAATACGTCTAGTGAATTTTGCTTTCTTTTGTGGTACACACAGTAGTTCAAATTTAAGGAATTATGTACTTATAAATAGTTTGTTTCCCTTTCTAAGATAAGGTTAACTTCTTTCAGCATCTTCTCATTTAAAACCGACTCCTCCAAATAGAAGTATGTATGTAGTTTTACAAATATTAGGGGTGTTTTATCAATATACAATGGAAGATAAAAATTCTAATTCCAATTCCAAACTTTTAAAGTTAGGATTCAGGGCATTTAAACATATTATCTGAGGAGCTTCTAAAAGTAAAAAAATTCAAACTTGGCAGTAAGTTCAAATTTTGGATAATAAAATTTTGACTTAATATAGTGTGGTTTGTCATATATGTCAGTTACAAATCTGTTTAGGAATAACTTTAACAACTTATGGGTCTTGAAGTAACTTTCAGAGTTAATGCTATTACTGCAGATATTGATAAGAACCTCCATTCTTTTCATGGATATTCAGTATCCATTTTGGCATGTTATGGACAGGGGTGGGGTGGAGAGGAAGGTGGAGATGGTGGTGTGGGAGGCAAGTAGAATTTCATTCCTGTCACTCAATCTTCTATAATAATAAAAGTGTAATATGCTAATTAGACTGGATGGCTGAACGACCTCCCGGACATCCTTCCGGATGACCTTCCGGACGAAGCCGGGGCTGCGAGGGCTGAGCCCCTTGCATGAATTTCGTACATCGGGCCTCTAGTACTTTTATAATACACAATATGACATGTGGACATAAAAATTGGATTATGATGATCCAATTTATTTATTTAAAAAGTAAATTCCCATTTTTCTCTCCTCCTTTCTTTCCAGTAACTATTAGAAATATCTCCTAATTTCATTATGTGCCAAAAGAAGGTGGAACTTTACAATTCAAATATACATTGCCCTGACCGGTTTGGCTCAGTGGATAGAGCGTCGGCCTACGAACTGAAGGGTCCCAGGTTCAATTCCGGTCAAGGGCATGTACCTTGGTTGCGGGCACATCCCTAATGGGGGGTGTGCAGGAGGCAGCTGATCGATGGTTCTCTCTTATTGATGTGTCTGACTCTCTATCCCTTTCCCTTCCTCTTTGTAAAAAAAAATCAATAAAAATATTTTTTTAAAAAAAAGAAAAAAAAACCCAAAGAACAAATATACATGTAGTCAGTGTGATACTCAAATGCACTATGTGCTAACTTTTTATAGAATAGTAAAGATTTACAGTTTTTTTTCTCTTTAATCTTTCATTTTGTCAGTAGAGACTATAACTAGTACTATTTTTAAGTAGGCTTTTAAATATCAACCCTTTTGAACCCTTTGGTCCTATTTAATGAAAATCTTAGTGATTTCTGTAAATCTAGTCATTATACCCCATTAAAACTGTCACATTCACCCCCAATATCAATTCCATTTTATTGGTTGGCCTTGTTATTCAAATTATTGTTCTTTGTGTCATTATTGGCCTTTAATAAGTATTTTTTAAAACATAGAGAACTTATTACAGTCTTATTTATGTATTATTGACATAGACAAAGACTATGTATTATTACAGTATTTTTTTTATTTTTAGCATATTATTAAGTTTCACCGTGCATCAAAAGCAAATAAAAAGCCCATGCAGTTGCCAAGATCTATGGTTAAATCATTACTTTATCAGATTCTTGATGGTATCCATTACCTCCATGCAAATTGGGTGCTTCACAGAGATCTGGTAAGTATGTTTATTTAAAATTAATATGTTTTCCCCCTTTCTTTTAAAAGATATACTTTTTTCTTGCTACAATTACGATAAACATTAATTATAGAAAATTTTGAAAATAAGCAGAAAGGAAGAAAAGAAAAACTATTCATAAACCTATGATAAAAATTTACCATTATTAACATTTGGTGTATGTTCTTCCATTATATGTATGCATAGCTATAAAATATCAGTGTGATTTTCAACAAGCGATTGGTATAATGTTAATGGGATAGTCATATGTGAAAAAAGTACCTTTTGATCCATTTTGTTTTTTTTATTATTGCTCATCATTAGTAAAAACATTAATAATTAAAAACTAAATTCTCATTTTTTTCTTATGAACTAAACTGAAATAATGACATTTCATCCAGTAAATTGAATGTTGTTATTGATATTCACAATTAATAAATGAATAAATCTCAAAGGTGGAATGCATTTATTAGGCTAATTAGCCACAATTCAAATGTTTGATTTTACTTTTGTATTCAGTACACATAAAGCAAACACTTATTAATGTCAAATTATATGCTGTTCATCTTTGCATTGTTGTCATTTTTAATTTATGTTGTTCTTGAAAAGACAATGGTAACTGAATAATTATAATACCCATGAGTTTATAATTGGAAGTTTTATTTTGCCCCCCACAAAAGTCAATTCATGATAATTTATTTCTTAGGCTTTTGGAGATGCTAGGTATATGGTAGGTATAAATCTAGGTCAACTCAGTTTTATTAATTGAGGATAAGTACTTATTATAGAAAGGAATAAATACTAGTACACAAGGAGACCTAGTTAAGACCCCTTGCTACTTTGTCAGTCAGTCAGTCAGGCCTGTTCATCTGACTTGACCATTCAGACACATTGTACCTCAATTTTAAACTGAAAGGTTCAAAGACTTTCACATATCCACTTTACTATTAACCATGAGTCAGCATGGTTTTGATTCTTGGGTATGTGAGGTTGTTCTTAGATTAAAGACCTCCTACATGAATGGTTTTAGATTTTAAGTTGTAATAATGTAATCTATGTGAGTTATATTTTTGAGGTCACAGTCATTTTTGAATCATCAATCAGAATCTTTTATTGACGATTAACTAATTTCAACTCATTTCCTTTTTTCACAAAATTGTATTCAGGCATACCTTGGCGATATTGCAGGTTTGGTTCCAGACCACCGCAATAAAGTGAATGTTGCAATATAATGAGTTTTTGTTGTTGTTTCCCCAGTGCATATAAAAGTTGTGTTTATACTATAGTCTGTTAAGTGTGCAATAGCATTATGACTAAAGAAAAATGTATATACCTTAGTTTAAAATATTTCATTGATAAAAATGTTGTTCATCATCTTAAGCCTTCAGTGAGTCCTAAATCTTTTTACTGGTAGAGGGTCTTGCCTCAGTGTTGATGGCTGCTGACTGATCAGAGTGGTGGTTGCTGAAGGTTGGGGTGGTTGTGGCAATTTTTAAAAATAAGACAAAAGTGAAGTTTGCTGCATTGACTCGCTCCTTCTTTCACACATGATTTCTCTAGCACGTGATGCTGTTTGATAGCATTTTACCTACAGTAGATCTTCTTTCAAAATTGGAGTCAGTCCTACCAAACATTGAAGCTGCTTTATCAATTAAGTTTAATCTTTCATTTTATCAGTAGAGAATATAACTAGTAGAGAATATAACTATTCTAAACTCTTTTTGTCATTTCAACAATCATAATTGGATCTTCACCAGGAGTAGATTCCATCTCAAGAAACACTTTCTTTGTTAATCGATATGAAGCAACTCCTTATCCATTAAAATTTTATTATGAGATTATAGCAATTTAGTCATATCTTTAGGCTCCACTTCTAGTTCTCTTCCTTAGTTCTACCATATCTGCAGTTACTTCCACCACAACTTGGTTGTTTGGCACAGGAGGCCTAGTTTTTGATGTATCTTGGCTTTCAACATGCCTTCCTCACTAAATTTAATCATTTCTAGCTATTGATTAAAGTGAAAGACATGCAACTCTCTTTCATTTTAACTCTTAGAGGCCATTGTAAGGTTATTAATTGGCCTAATTTCAGTATTGTGTCGCAGGGAATAAGGAGGCTGAGGAGAGAGAGAGAGAGAGAGAGAGAGAGAGAGAGAGAGAAAGGGAAATGGTCTGTAGGTAGAGCAGTTAAAACACAACATTTATCAATTAAGTTTGCCATCTCATATGGGAATGGTTTGTGGTGCCCTCCCCCAACTTATAATAGTAACATCTAAGATCACTGATCACAGATTGCCATAACAAATCTATACTAATAATAGAGGAATATGCAAATTGTCCAGGACGCCATCACAGTAACAGTAATGACCGAATAGCAGGCTGCATGGGGCAACAAGGCCAGCAAGGGGGTTAGTGAGGGACGACCAAACAACTGAACAGCAGGCTGCGTGGGGCGACCAGACCAGCAGGGGGGTTAGTGAGGGGTGACCAAACGACAACAGCAGGCTGCATGGGGCGACCAGGCCAGCAGGGGGGTTAGTGAGGGATGACCAAATGACTGAACAGCAGGCAGCGTGGGGTGACCAGGCTGGCATGGGGGGCAGTTGGGGGCGACCAGGCAGAGGGTGTAGTTGGGGGTGACCAGGCCGGAAAGGGGGGCAGTTTGGGGCCACCAAGCCAGCAGAGGGGGGCAGTTGGGGGCAACCAGGCTGGCAAGGGGCCAGGTGGGGGAAATTAGGTTGGCAGGGGGGGCATAAACCGGCACTCGGATATCCTCTGAGGAGTCCTGGATTGGAGAGGGTGCAGGCTGGGCTGAGGATCCTCCTCCCCCCGCCCCCCCCGCCGTGCACAAATTTCGTGCACCGGGCCTCTAGTATACTAATAATGAAAAAATTTGAAATAATGCGAGATTACCAAAATGTGACACAGACATGAACTGAGCAGATGCTCTTGAAAAGATGGCATCAGGGAGAACCAAGATGGTGGCATAGGTAAACACCAGTACTTACCACCTCCCACAACCACATCAAAATTACAACTAAAACACAGAGCAACCATCATTCAGAACTGCCTGAAATCTGGCTGAATGGAAGTCCTACAACTAGAGAAGTAAAGAAAGCACATTGAAACTGGTAGGAGGGGCGGAGGTGCGGAATGGCTTGGTCCAACACCCACATGTGGTGTTTTTTTCAATCAGGAGAGATATCTCAGCTGCAAATGCCTCCCGTGAGGAGCAAGGGGTCCCAGCCCCACAGCAGACCCCCAGCCTCGGGTTCTAGTGCCATGAGAGAAGCCCCTGTAACTTTGGGTCATAAAAATCGGGGATTGTAGCTGAGTGACACGGAGGCTACTGGAGACCCAGGCAGTTCACTTAAAGGGTCTGCACATGAACTTACATGGTCCCACTCCCTCTGAACTCTAGCACTGGGGCAGTGGCTTGGAGGGATCCAGGGACATATGGGGAGGAACTGGATTGTCTGGCATTGGAACAAGAACTCAGGAGTGGCTCTCTCCCAGACAGTGGTGCTCCCAGGGGTCATTGTTTCTATACTGAGACCTCCCCCATTGCAAAGCTGACTGGCAGCCACATCTAAGTTTCCATCAGTTTAGCTCACACTGTTCACTCCACCCTGGTGATTTCCTGAGACCATGCCCCATCCAATTTGTAGCCCCACCCAAGCTGTTTGCAGCAGCTTTTCCATATGAATGGCCTGTCCTGGCTCAGTCTTCAGATTTTTCTAAAATTTCTCAAACAAGCAGCAGCTGGCATCAGCAAGACTTGGCACTAGTAGCAGCCTGCCTTGCTTCACAGTTTGGCCTCGCCTGGGCACTTCCAAGCCTAACACAAGTAGCAGCCATTTGCAGATAGCTCTGTAGCTCCTGCCGGGTGGCCCTAGTCAGTGGCTGACTTTGCACTGCCTGGGAGGCCCCAGAGCCAGTGCATCCAGTGGACAACTTCAGACCATAGCAGATTACAACTCTACACAGCCATGAGTGACATACTCAAGGGGCAGACTCAGTGAACACAAAAGCCCCATTGAAGCAAGTCTTACACCATAGGGGTGCCTCCTGCATAGCAGCTCTTCCACTATAGTTGTAGCTAGTCCTCACAGCCATTTGGCCTGGAGGTCAGCTCCTCCCAGTAACATCAACAGCAATCAAGGCTCAACTACAAGACTGTGCACACAGCCCACACAAAGGCACACCTAGAGTGCCCCACTCAGGTGACTGGGGAGGCTGAGCCACTGGCCCCTCAAGACACCTACTATGCAAGGCCACTCTACTAATTCCAGGAGACATAGCAGCTCTACCTAATACATAGAAATAAACACATGAAAGCAGCCAAAATGCGGAGACAAAGAAACATGTCACAAATGAAAGAACAGAAGAAATCTCCCGAAAAAGAATAAATGAATTAGAAGCAAACAGTCTAATAGATACAGAGTTCAAAACAATGGTTAAGGTTGCTCAAGGATCTTAGTGAGAGCCTCAAGGGACCTAGTGAGACTTTCAAAGATCTTAGTGAGAATTTCAAAGACATGAAAAAGGATCAGTCAGAAATTAAGCACACACTAACTGAAATAAAAGATAATTTACAGGGAATCAACAGTAGAGTAGGGGATGCTGAGAATCAAATCAATGACTTATAATATGAGGAAGCATAAAAAACACCCAATCAGAAGAGCCAAAAAAAAAAAAGAATAAAAAAATATGAAAATAGTGTAAGGAGCCTCTGGGACAACTTCAAGCATACCAACATTTGCATTATGTGGGTGCCAGAAAGAGTAGAGAGAGAGAGCAAGATATTGAAAACCTATTTGAAGAAATAATGACAGAAAACTCCCCCTACCTGGGGAAAGAAGTAGACTTACAAGTCCAGGAAGCGCAATATGTCCCAAACAAGAGGAACCCAAAGAGGCCCATACCAAGACACATCATAATTAAAATGCCAAAGGTTGAAGACAAGGAGAGAATCTTAAAAGCAGCAAGAGAAAAGGAGT